CTAATCTTCCTTCACTTTTCTTGCTCCTTCTGCAAAGACTACCCGTTGGCACTCTCCACTCAGAGAGCACGCCTGTGACATTCCCTTCTCTCTCCATCTCACTTTTCCTTCCCTGCTTCCCCTTCCAGACACAATACCTCTAGGTTCCTCACTGCCAAACTCCACAGGCCCTTGTTTTACCCCCATAACTTGTTTCCTAAGCCCCTTTCTTCTAGGACTTACTTCTACCTCTGTCACTTACCCAATAAATGGTCTCCTTACAGTTAAAAAAAGAAAAGACTACCAGTTATTCACCATGAGGATGGCTGGGTACTGTGGGATCAGGATTGTCTGCAGCTTCTACGAATGGGGATGAAATGGGGGTGGTTTCTTTATATGTGCTCAGACTCCATCTCCTCAGATTCACAACGACTTACATACTCTCCCAGCCCTTGGGCATGTGTCAGAGGCCTGTATGGTGGGTGCGTGGTGAGGTCCTCATAGTTTTTATGGAGGCAGATGGTGTGGACACGGCTTCCCACCAGTCACTTCTCTAAGTGGACAGTGTCATCTCCTGAATTGGACATGGGGATGGACCAGCTTCCTTACCTCTGACCACAAGCTGCAATGGGTCGCTGGGGTGAGACCACACGTAGGGGTCTTTGCTGAAGGCACCGTAGCATCTGTAGGTCCCTTCCTGTGTGGAGGTGACATTGTCAATGTGGAAGGTGGTCTGCTTTCCTTTGTCCTGGGCTGTGGAGCTTTGTCTCTGGGTGAACTGAGGTGTATCGTCTTTGGTGAGAATAAATGTATCAAACTTGAAACTGGAGAAACACTGTAACTTCACATTGTCTCCTGGAGCCAGCACCGTGCCACTCATGCTGGAGAGTGAGGGTTTGTCATAAGTTCCTGGGACATAAGGAAGTTTGCTGATAAATGGGAGTCCACCTCCATGTACTCTCCCTTCTTGTTTCCCGGGAGCAGATGTGGCTCTGGCTTCTATCCCCCCCATGTCCCACCCTGAGGGAATGTGTCTCTGCATCACCCCTGATTCCTTCCTAGAGGCAGAGGCTTTGCTACTTCCTGCTCCGTATCTCAGAATCTGGTTCTCCCCTCTGCAAAGAGGTTCCTCCCGGCCCTGCTGCCAGGTTCCCACTCACCCATCATCACCACATGCAGGATGTCACTGAGTGAGGACCAGTGTCCTCCACTCTGATAGGAACAGTGGTACAGTCCTGTCTGGTCTGGTTTCATCTCTTGGATATATAAAGTGCTGGTCTTCCCAGCCAGCAGCAATTTCTTTCTGTTCCTAGGCTCAGGTTCTTCCACTTTATATATTTCATAAGCTTCAGTGTCTGGAGGCCCTTGGCACAGGATGGTCATAGGATTTTTAGGTAGAACCATGGATTCATTCAGAGCTGTGATAACAGGTGGGGGGAGATATCCTATAAAAACAGGTAGTAAATTTACAGGTGTATCTGTTTCTCATGCCACTCTCCACTTCTTCCCCTTTTACAGCCACAAATCTAAATGCCAAGACCCCTCTTACCAGCCCCCAAGAGAGTTGGTATCTGGTCAAACCCTACTTAGTCCTTAAACATTAAAAGGATACTCAGGCCCTAGCTGGTTTGGCTCAGTGGAGAGAGTATTGGCCTATGGACTGAAAGGCACATGCCCAGGTTGTTGGCTCCATCCTCAGTGCGGGGTGTGCAGGGGGCAGCCAATCAATGATACTCTCTCATCGTTGATGTTTCTATCTCTCTCTCCATCTCCCTTCCTCTCTGAAATCAATAAAAATATCTTAAAAAAATCAAAAGGATATTTAGCATTCTGAGTCTGAGTGCTCTGGGCTGGATGCAACCCTGGAAGGAAACATTGGGTGATAACCGCTCAGGCTTTTAAAAAATTTTTAAATTTTAAATTACAGTTTACATTCATTATCACTTTATATTATTTTCAGGTGGATAGCTTAGTGGTTAGATAATCATATACTTTAAAAAGTGTTTCCCATTGCTATTTCTAGGAGGCCGGCATGGTGTGTGCAGGTGAGGTGCTCATGGCTTTTGTGGAAGCCGATGGTGTTGCCAAGGGCTTCCCATCGCACTCTTCTCTTTCTTCCAGTCACTCCCTAAGTGGACAGTGTCATCTCCAGAAGGGGACAGGGGATGGATCGATTCCTCACCTGTGACCACCAGCTGCAATGGGTCGCTGGGGTGAGACCACACATTGGGGTCTTTGTTGAAGGCACCGTAGCATCTGTAGGTCCCTGCCTGTGTGGAGGTGACACGGTCCATGTGGAAGGTGGTCTGCTGTCCATTGTCCTGGGCTGTGGAGCTTTGTATTTGGGTGAACTGAGGTGCATCTTCTTTGGTGAGAATAAATGCCTGAAATCTGATTCTGGAGAAACACTGTAACGTCACATTGTCTCCTGAAGCCACCACCCTGCCATTCATGCTGGAGAGTGAGGGTTTGTCAAAGGTTCCTGAGAAAGAAGGAAGTTTGTTGATAAAGGGGTGGGGCATGTTCCTTCCTGTTCGCAGGAGCAGCTGTGGCTTTGGTTTCTATCCCCTCCGTGTCCCACCCTGAGGGAATGTGTCTCTGCATCATCCCTGATGCCTTCCTAGAGGTAGAGGCTTTGCTGCTTCCTGCTCTGTATCTTAGAGCTTGGCTCTCCCTTTGCAAAAAGGTCCCTCCCGTCCCTGCTGCCTGGGTCCCACTCACCCATCATCACTACATGCAGGATCTCACTGAGTGGGGACCAGTGTCCTCCACTCTGATAGGAACAGCGGTACAGTCCTGTCCGGTCTGGTTTCATCTCTTGGATATATAAAGTTCTGGTCTTCCCAGCCACCAGTAATTTCCTTCCATCCCTAGGCTCAGGTTCTTCCACTTTATATATCTCGTAGGCTTCAGCGTGTGAAGGCCCTTGGCACTGGATGGTCACTGGTTCATTATATAGAACTATGGGTCCAGGCTGAGCTGTGATAACAGGTGGGGGGAGATTTCCTAGAAAAACAGGTAACAAATTTACAGGTGTATCTACTTCTCATGCCACCTTCCACTTCCTCCCCTTTTACAGCCACGAGTCTAATTGCCAAGACCCGTCTACCCAGCCCCCAAGAAAGCTGATATCTGGTCAAACCCAACTCAACCCTTGAACATTAAAAGGATACTCACCATTCTGAGCCTGAGTGCTCTGGGCTAGATGCAACCCTGGAAGGAAACATTGGGTAAGAACGGCTCAGGCTTTAAAACATTTTTTCAATTTTCAATTACAGTTTACATTCATGATCACTTTGTATTAGTTTCAGGTGTACTGCCTAGTGGTTAGATATTCATATGCATTATAAAGTGCTTCCCGTTGCAATGTCCAGTACCCTCCTGGCACCATACATACTGGTTACAATACTATTGGCTATATTTTCTATGCTGTACTCTACGCTCCCATGAGTATTCTGTAACTCACAATCTATACTTCTCAATCCCTTCTCCTTTACATCCAGTCCCCATACACTCTCCTCTGGCAACTGTCAGTCTGTTCTCCATATCTGTGAGTCTGTTTCTGTTTTGTTTGCTCATTCATATTGGAGAACAGCCCAGCCTTAAAGAACCGCCGACCTGCCCCAGTAACATTGTGCTTGCACCCCGAACCTTCTGTCCAGACTCACCGAGATAGAGCAGAGTGGGAAGAACCACGGACATGATTCTGGGTCCTCTCTGGCCCGTTGGCCTCAGCAATGCTGCCTGTATGCGGAACAGACTTCTCTGAAAGTCTCACCAAGCAACAGGAAGTGTTGGGAGGGCCTTGGTTCTCAATCTCAGAGTGAAGGCATTTCACAATGTCTTGTGCTAAAGCCTTGCAGAGGCAGCTGATCATGATGTCAGTCATCTGAACTTTAAACCTCCATCAGCCCAGTCTGGTCCCTGTTTTCTGTCCCCAATTCCTCATGAGCATTTAATCTTTCTGTGTGAATTGAGCAGTAAGTGGGATCACAGATGAAGAACAGGACAGAAGTAGTTCCCAGTCTGAGATCGGCTCTGAAATACACTGTGAGCTCATGGTTCCTGCTACTAAATGCAGAGCTTCCTCCTATTCATGTATAAAATGAGTCAATAATTCTGTGTTTCTGCAAAGCTATACCCACAGTGTGTGCATGTGGTCCAGAGCAGGCCTTCTTAAGGAGGCAATGACATAATTATTAGTTCTTTGCCGACTGTGCATGTTCCCACCACGCTGTTAGCACTGACTGTCTATGGGTGAAAGTGATGAACCTAAGGAAGGTAGTTTCACTGGGTTTTGCCACCCCTTGGTTCTTTTATTTTTGCTT